CGGCGGCTGGTCAGGCCGGGCCCTGCAGCCAACCGACAGCCGGACGAACACCTACAGGCAGCGGCTAAAGGGGGGTGTGGGCACGCGTGCCCCTCAGTTCTGAGCGGCCGACTGGGAGGACCAGCACGGATCACCGGCCGTGCCAGCCCGCGGTTTGGGTGGATGCGGGGGTGGCAGTGACGGCGCTGCCCGTGCCGCCAGCCCCGCGCGCGCTCCGGGTTTGTGAACGAACGCGCGCGTGTACCTACACCTCCGCACTGGGGCACCTGTCCTGCGCCTCCACCCCTGCTCAGCCTCACCGCTGGCCGGGCCTACGGCAAGCAGAGCACGAGGGGAACTCTGCTGGGCCTTAAAATGCAAGACCTGACTTCCCTTAACGGCTGTTACTGGTGCTGAGCTCAGCTGATGTGCTGGGGAACTCAAGAACTGAAGGGAAAGGAAGAATGAAATCGAGGCCAATTTCACAGAATCACAGAACCACCGAACAGCTGAGGTTGGAAGAGACCCGGGGAGATCGTCTTGTCCCACCCCATCACTCAAAGCATGGCCAACTAGAGCAGGCTGCTTTGGACTGTTCCCGGATGGGTTTTGAGTACCACCATGGAGGGAGACCCCACAGTCTCTCTGGGCAACCTGTTCCAGCATTCAATCACCTTTGCAGCAAAAAAAAGTTGGTTTTCATATTTCAGTGGAATTTCCCACTCCAGTTTGTGCCCGTTACCTCCCATTCTGCCACTGGATACCACTGAGAAGTGCGTAGCTACGCCGCCTTTGCTGCTTCCTACCCAGCGTTTACGCACATCGGTAGGATCCCCCCGAGCCTTCCCTTCTCCAGCCCCAGGTCTCCTGGCCTCTCCTCGTGTGCCGGGTGCTCCAGGCCTTCAATCACCCCTGTGGCCCTTCGCTGGACTCTCTCCAGTCGGCTGCCCGCCAGCCTGTGCTCCTGCACGGGGTTCTTCCTCCCCAGGGGCAGCACTTGGCACCTCCCTTTGCTGAACCTCATGAGGATCCTGCCTGCCCAGTCCTCCGCTCTCTTGAGGTCCCCCTGGAAGGCGAGCACTAGCCAGGACGCTGACTGAAGTGGCTACTAAATAGGGAAGTTTGACCAAGGGACAGGGAAGTCCTATTCTGGGTGAGCAACCACTACTGAAGAAAACCACCCAACCTTCAGGTGCACCCCAAATTATCAATGGGTGAAAGAGGACCAGTGCAGAGTACCTGGGGTGGGAAAGAGGACGAACAGCAAAACAAGAGGAACGGAGAATCAACACCCTGAACAAAGATGGTTGTGAAAAAAGGGTGATGGAGTAAACAGAACACAAGTGAAAACCGAAGTGAATTCTTCAAAGAAATGATTTGTTTGCACCAAATTGCCTGGAAACACTGAGGAGGCTGACAGCACTGTGCCCACGCCTCGAGGTCACCTGTCCCGGGTGACAACCACTAAAACCAGTGCTCAGACACACCGAGAAATCCCAGTCCTGTTACTGAGACCCGGACCAGTGAACTCTGTCTGGTTACTGCCCGCTCAAGCGGTCAGACCGAGAGGAAGGAGGAGAGGCACCCGCTGCTCTCCCAGCGGCAGAGCCCTGACAGCCAGCCGCGCTGCCAGGAGGGGCAGGGGGCAAGGCACCACGGTCACAAATGTTATCCCCTGTGCGTGGATCAACGCAACCCCCCCGACCACACAATGCGCTGACACCGCCAGGGCGCTGACCTTACCTGGGACTCAGTGAGGTACCCGGCGTCCCGCCCCTGATCAAGCCCCGTCTTTACAACCTGGTCAAAGAACAACAGAGACGATGCTGTAAAGTCACGTCTGCCAACAGCCTCGCTCTAACGACATCACTCGGGTAGCTGCATCTCCCCTTTTCACAAGAGACCCCTCGCCGACACTCAAGGCGCAGCACTGCAGGCTCTCTGGCCCTGCCCGGGCTGTCCAAAGCAGAGATCTGAGAACCACCCTGTCCTTCTCGCACAGAACAGCCACGATCACGAGGAGTTTTCCATCGGGTTCATTTTTACACGAGCCTTGCAGCTCCAGGAATTGTTTTCAGTAGGACTGTGCTCCTGTAACGTCCCTGCTCTCGGAGGGGGGCATTCACGGGTTTTGGAGAAGGCTTGGCAACAACTTAAATAGCGAAAAGTCACTTTAAAGTAAGGATTCAACCACGGACAGTGTCTGTAAGTGTCACTCAGGGGACTAACTTAAAGCACTGTGTGGTTAGTGCTAGGAAAACAGCAATTTGTATTTTCCTGGCTTCAAACGGGCTGGCCCAACTCCTTAGAAACTGCGTGGGAAACCTGGAAAACTGCAGCTGAAAGCTTCATGGACAAAGCTTTCCAGCCGAGCCCTCCCTCTGCTGGGATTCTTGATCTACCCCTTACTGGTGCCACATAAACCAGTGACCCTGCTCCTGGGAGCTATTCTGAATTTCACCGTGCTCGCTCGACACACCACAGCAGCGAGGAGCTGGCCCTCCTCAGGGCTGACCTGCGAAGCTCAGGGCCCGCGGCTCGACTCAGAGGAAGGAACCGCCGTCCCTCTGTCGCCCTGTCAGCGCCCAGATCCACCTTCCCGGGCCGGGCAGCGGGGGTTACCTCAATGATCTTCAGCGGAGCAGGGTAGAGGCCTTTGGTTTGCTTCTGAACTTTGGTCTCCACCGTCTTGTAGACTTGCTGCCTGACGAAGGGGAGAGCCATGGCGTAGTCCGTCAGCTCTGCAAGACAGGGCGGGACACGGCTCAGCACAGCGCGACGGGCACAGCCAGCCTTTACGTGACCAACCTGACAGCTGAGGAGCAGAGACGGGAGTGCGGCATCGCTGCAGCAGACACACGCCCCCCCCAACGCAGCCACAGGCAGCAGGGGCTGCTCAGGAGGGGTTCTACGGCCTCACTTAGGGCTCAAGTATCCCCCAAATGCGGCTGGTGACAGCCTGAGCTCTGGGGAGCAGCACTCGCCTGGAGACGCCACCACTTCTGGGCTCTGCTAGCTGCGTAAGGCTGCTGCTAAAGAGGGTGAGGGCAGAGCAGGCCCACGTGCCTCCTCCCGCTTGGTCTCACAAGCTTGGTACAGAACTGGCTGCTGAAACTTTGCAGACAGATGGTCCTCCGGGGGTAGCTGCTGCTCCCTCCCCAAGGCCTGGCTCCCTTTGGGATGCGCCACGGGCAGCTCTGGCAGTGCCACTTTACCATCAGATCTGCAGAGCAAGGTCTTCTCTACCGACCCGCCTGGCTCAAGAGACGGTTACAGCACGAAGGGAGTTTGAAAACGGAATTAAGCAGCAGCACGAGCACATCCCCGAGACGCAGAGCCGGGCTGTACTCAGCGCAGTCCCTTGGGACGGGGCTGTGACACCCACAGACTTACTCTGGATCAGCCCTTTGGACCTTTTGGCAGACACGGTCCTGTTCGCCAGCCCCCTGGCAAAGCCGATCGCTACCTCCTCCAAGTACTCCACCGTCCGTGCCTCCGGCGCCTTCACACCCGGCCCTGCGGACAAAGAGGAGTCGTGAGGAAACGCAGCAGGAGCTGTGGCTGGTGGGTGACGCTGCAGAGGAGCGAGGATGAGACAGCAGCGGGGTGTTCCCTGGAACTGCCACCGCTATCCCCCTGCCCGTTTGCCTTCTCTTCGTTGCACACCGTGACGGAAAGGCGCAGCAGCACCTACACGAAGGCCCCCCGGCATTTAATATCCACGGCACAGCAACGCCAGCTCCCAGGGGCAGCAGACAGCAGCAGGCCACTTACACAGCAACACTGCTTTCACAGGAACAGCTTTGGCTGGGAGGGGACACGGGAGGGCACCCGCTCTGACCCCCTGCTCAAAGTTAAACCCACCTCCAGAACTAGAGCAGGGCGCTCAGGGCCACGCTCTGCCCGTCGCTGAACAGCGCCGAGGACGGAGCTCCCGTCACCCCCCTGGATCTCTGTTTCATCTTGTGGCAAGTTGTGCCCTTTATTCCTCAACCTTTTCCTTTGCATAACCACCCCTGTACCTCAACACGCCTGCAGCCTTCTGCCTGCCCGCCCTCCTGGTGCGCCTCTCCCTCCCGATGCCGCACAGCAAGTCCGCACAGCTACGCTGCGCCAATGCTGCTGCCATGAAACACACAGGCAACAGCTACAAAGCACCATGTCCCCGAAAACAGCCTGTGCTGGAGCTGGCGTCCCTGAAAATGACCTGTGCTGGAGCTGACATCCCCAAAAATGGCCTGTACTGGAGCTGATGTCCCCGAAAATGACCTGTACTGGAGCTGATGTCCCCAAAAATGACATGTACTGGAGCTGATGTCCCCGAAAATGACGTGTACTGGAGCTGATGTCCCCGAAAATGACCTGTACTGGAGCTGATGTCCAGTGAAACCTCAGCCTTTGGTCTCAGGCACAGACATCTCTCACTTGCTTTAGCGACTGCAACACGCAGGACCACTAGCCAGCCTCGCGGCCCATCTGTGCTAACGTAAGGCTGTCCCACAAACAAGGAAGCAAGCCACCACAAGACGAGTTTTAGCCATCTCTGAGGGTGGGCTGCCCAACGTCCAGGCACAGGACTCGTCGGTACAGGCGGACGGAGCACAGGGCTGAGCCAAGTTGCTGGAGGCAAATGCAGCGAGTTGTTAACGAAAGAGCAAGGCCCAGCGGTTCTGCCCAGGGCCACCAGCTGAACCCACGGCCTTGGGCTCCCTCTGAACAACAGCACAAACCTGCTGAGGCTACAACTCCGGCTCCTTACAGCTGGGCAACCCCACTAACTTCGCTATAACCTGCTCTGACTGCACGTAGCTGCTGCACAGAGTCCTCAGAGCTAAGGCAGCACCGCAGCAGACACCTACTCCCAGTTAAAGGACAACAGCAAAGCAGAAAGCCCTTCCTCTTCCACCTCCCACTACTCTCCCCCTCCCCCAAGAGCCAAGGGCTTCAACAGCAAGGTTTCACCTCTCTGCATAAGAACTTGAGAGCGTATACTCAGCCCACCCCTGCCACTGCTGCCTGCTGGAGGGTCTCTTGGCAAGAAGCAAGCAGAATCGTTTTGGTCAGAAAAGACCTTTAAGATCATCAAGTCCAACCGTTAACCTCATAAAGAAGCACGTCTGTTTTGACCAGACCATGCAGAGTCACTGTTAGGAAGTCTCACTCACGCCCTGGCAGCACGTCAGAGCCAGTCTAGGGGAGAACAGTCCAACCAAAACAATGTATTTCATCGGACAGGCAGCACAGAAACCTTAACCCAGAGCTACTGCATAATCTACTCTTCAGCAATGCCCAGGGGACTTTGGGGAATTTATTGGAAGTTTGAGAGCATTTGGGATTTCCGAGCTCAAACCGTATCAGCTTCCAAATTCTCTTCCCCCCACTCCAAGACAGCATGTCCGAGACCTTCAGCTTTAGTGACCTGAAGTGCACCAGATTCCGCCTTCCCACTACCCTGGGTGTTCAACGCCAACAAGCGCTGGACTCGGATCCTACAGCTGGAGGAAAGAGCTGTTGGTCAGTCTGAGCTGCCAGACCCACTCAGGCAAGGCCATCGAACCGCGCCTGTGGGTTCACTCTCCCGGCGTTACTGCTCACCGTCTGGTAGTGCCCTCACCGGGAGCACCGAGCTGCCGACTCGCAGCTGCTCTCACAGAATCGGCACATGCCAGAATTCGGTCTGGGCCCAGCAGTAATGCATCGAGAGAACCCTGCAGAGCTCCCTAGTGAAGGGGAACTGATTGCGCCCCTGAAATCGCCTCCTGACTAACGCTGTCTCTCTCCTTCAAAGCTTTCTGTAATCGCTTAAAGCATCACCCCAGTTAAAGCTGCTTTCCCCCAGAGACAGAGAATACCCAGCAGAAAGCCTTCTGGCACCGGCTGCTGTTGCAATAAACAGGGAATGCCCCCGGCGTTTGCCTGTCATTTGGCTTTGTGCGTTCCTCCTACCTGCTTGTCTGGTTTCAGCTAGGATCCCCAACAGCTCTTCAGAAAGTTCAGGTTTCCTTTAAGCAAGCCAGCGTGATCATGGCTATAAAAAGCCACATTCGCTGGCTCTTAAAAACCAGCTCATGTTTAGGAAAGCACACGGTGGTGAAGTGGATTCTGTCAATTTTAACTCGAGCCTGGGTACCACTGGTGCGTTCTATCGGCGAGAACACAGCTCAGGATCCCTCCTCCAGCTGGACGCTGGCGTGTGGGACACAACAGCCACAAGGGCTTCCCTGGCATTTCTCAGGGCAGGCAGCAGCGCCTTCTGGTTTTAGCCCCTTCAGCTTCAGGAGCTGAGGCCCACCTGGGTGCTCGGGCCATGCTCTGCCTGGGGAAGCCAAGCTGGAGCAGGGATTTCCCTTCCAACTCCTGCCTGCAGCCGCTCAGACCTTTCAGAGGAGGCTGTGGAGGGTCTGCCCCTCCCTTTAGCCACCTTCCAAGACAGCCCCCCTAGTGAAGGAACAGCAGAGGCAAGAAATCATTCACCAGCCCACTCAGCGCTTGGAAGCCTGCAGTTTGCAGGGGATTTCTCCATCCCACTGAAAGTCGGCTGCAACTCAGAACACCTAAGCCATGGGAGCTGGCTGCTTCTCCAGATCTTGTCACAGAGATAAACACCTGCAGGCTGCAGAAACGTAGACCAAGGTCATCTATTCCCCTTTTCAGTCCCTCTGACACGACAAAGGAGGAATGGAGGTGCTCATCCGTACACCAGAGCGCCAGCAGGCCTGCCCTCCGTGCTAACCTTTCCCTCTCCGCTCAGCTTCAGCGGGAGCCTGGCGGGTCAAGGCCCCTGTGGACCTGCCCCCCACGGTGGGGAGGGAGGCGGCACTGCAGAGCGGGGTGAGCACTTTGCAGGCCGCAGGCTTTGCCCCCACCGGGCTGCTGGCTGCACCGGGGGCTTCTCCACCTACAGCAGTAAGGTGGAGGGACAAGAAACTCAGAGGCATCGTGTCTGACCTAGTGGGTCCACCAGCTGGTCAACCAGACCCATCTTCTTCGCTTTGTCAGCACGGATGTTCCTTCCCGTCAGCATCATATCGAAGGCAGCAGGAAGGCCCACCTGGAAGGGCAGAAAGGGGATTTCAGAGTGGGAGCAGGCCGTGCAGCAGAAGGGGCTATCGAGTCAGGTTCTTCCTCTTACTTACCATCTTTGGCAGCCTCTGAGTACCCCCCGCCCCTGGCAGGAGACCCAGTAACACTTCAGGTGTTCCCAAGACTGTTTTCCTGTCCTTCGTTGCTATTCTGTAGTGGCAGGCAATGGCAACCTTAAAAAAGGAAGAGAAAACGAAAGGTTTCCCTGTGAGAGACCGCAGAAGGACCGGGCATCCATCACAAAGGTCTCCACCCTTCGCCTCAGCTTTCCTCCCAGTGCGTCCCCAGCTCCCCAGTTCAGCTGCCCACACTCCCTCTGTGCTCACTGATGGCTTCTTCCAGCCAGCGAAGCGCAGGCAGCTGACAGCAAGCGGCTGTGGCACGCACGAACAGCCAAGCTACTTTAAAATCTCACCTGACCACCACGGGCTAAATTTGTTCACCGCACCGAGAACATGGTCTCAGCGCAGTGCCCAGGGAGGCTGGGGAGTGTCCTGGACGCCGTCCTGTGCCACCTCCTGTAGTGACCCTGCCTTAGCGGGGGGTTGGACCAGGGGATCCCCAAAGGTCCCTTCCGACCCCCGCCGTTCTGTGATTTACAGATCAGCCACAGCTCTTGGTTCATCACTGGACCACCAAGATCTGCCACCGGCGCTTGTAAAAAGCTGTGACTGCTTGAGCAATCAGTGCGCAACCGAGGAGACTCTGTTCCCCTAAGGTCACTCTGTCCCAGTAACAGCTTTGCTCCAGGAATTACCGGAGTCTTTCAGCTTACAAAATCCTAGCTGGAGATTAGGAAGCAACCACTGCACCCGGCCGAAGTGGCAGGCGACGGAGCAGAGCGTGCAGGCCAGGGCGCAGCCTGGCCAGGTCCCCCACGCTCACCCCTCTCACAACCACCTCTAAAAGAACAAAGTCACTGGGATACGAGAGACTCAGTTCATGCAAAAAGCAGCGATTTCCAGCCTGGGCTCTGCCAGCAGCATTTATCCAGATCCAATGCCTGCCGGAAACAGCCAGATTTCCCTGGGACGCTCTAATCTAAACATTAGCCTGGCCCACACGGACTCGTGCTTGACGAGCTCCCTTTCAACAGAAGCAGGAGAATGAGCGTGGCAGAGCCCTGAAGCACAACCGAGCCACTAACTTGCCACAAACTCATTTGAATGGATGTCACGAACCCCCGTCAGGTCTCCAATCCTTCTCACAGACAGCAGCCCTGCAGGCACTGTCTGGGAAGCTGAGAGACCCGGCACTACCAGCTCCCAATCCTGCTCGTCAGAGCCGGAATTGTTGGATACCTCCAGTCCTCCTCCCAGGCAGGAGCCACTGATGGCAGCAACGATGGGCTTTGGAGACTGCTCTATTTTTTCTAGCATCTTCTGTCCTTCCTGAGAGAGCTGAGTCACTTCCTGAGAAGTCTTGCAGGCGTCAATCATGCTGCAGTGAGGCAGAAAGGCTGATCAGAATCGGAAAAGCACGGAGAAAACAGCAGTCAAACGAGAGCGCTTCAACGAGCCTGTGCCTCTTTTTCCCACAAAGCTCCAGCGCCCGGCAGACAGGCAAGAGCCATTTACGCCCCCCCCCCATCTCAGATGAGCAGACAACGCTGGGCGACTACAAATTCAGCGGGTTCAGCCCCTGCCTGCTGACACCGGGCTGCGCCTGCAGGCCCTGAATGGGTTTCCTTGTGTCAGAGCTCTGAAAGCCTCTGGGGGAGAGGAGGAAGGGCCACGGGAAGCCTCAAAGCACTTGCCAGGAAGGGTGGAGGGGAGAGCCCGGGATCCCTCTGTAGAGGAGCAGATGGCCGGTGCCCTGACGTTGCGCTCCGCCAGCTCGAGCCTCCCTGGGCCGGTTACCCAGCATCTGCCAGGAGGCTCATGGCGTGGAGAGCGGCAGGCAGCTCTGAAACACGGCCTGGCCCTTCGCTCCCCTCACCGGCTCTAGCTCCTGCCTCCTCCCCACCGCGACACACATCACATCTCTGCCCCTGCACCAGGCCAGCCAGAACGGCGAGGAGGTTTCGAAGGGCCTATTTGTAAGCGACCTTCTTTCCTCAGAGCCTTGTGGCTTTCCGTGTCTTCAGACAACCACTCTGTCCCGCCCAATGTCAGGACTAGGAGCCAACGGCACCCCGGGTCCCAGGGAGAGCCCCCGCAACGGCCCCCCTGCAGGAGCTACCCACGCCGAATCGCCCGGGAGGCCGCTCGGATGCTCCCGGTGGCACAGAGCCAAACCCTGCCTAACCGAGGGGCCAGGCTGGCGGGCTGCCGGGCACGCCAGCCCAGCTCGGATGAGGTCCTGCATGTCAATGATCCGCTCCTGTTGTGTCCCAGCCCAAGGGACAATGCTCACCCCGCAGCTGGGACGGGTTTCCCTGGCTGCCCCCCCGGCACGCAGGAAGGGGGGACCAAGCGTTGCCGCCCAAGGGGGTTTAACGACGGGCCACGCTCCTCCTCACCACGGCCCCAGCCGCCCCGCAGCACGGCAGGCGTCCTGCGCCGGGGATTTCCCTGCCTCACCCCGGGGGGACGTCAGTGACAAAGCCCTCGGACTTCAGCACCCACCAGACCCCTGGCCCTGGACGTGGGACTCCGGAGGAAGCTCTGTCACCCCGGTACTCACTCGATATCGGCTCCAGCAATGAAAGAGCCTGGCTTTGACGAGATGAGGACGGCGCTCTTGACAGCTTCGTTGGCCCAGATCTCATTCATTACATCTGTGAACTCGGCGCTGAATTGCCTGGATAGAGTGTTCACCTGGAAGCAGCGAATAAGGACTGTCAATAGGGAGCCCAGGAGACAGCGGCGTGTGACCTCCCAGTACGGGACTCCGTCACCCCAGCATCAGAAAACCCGCACGGACGACAGGCTGACACCAGGAAGCCAAAGCCCAACGGTCGGTCGGAACGGATTTGCCAAGGCAGAAGGAGCAGCAGCCGCACAGCTTTTCAAGACCTGCCTTCCGGAAAACCAAACCAAACGACTAGACCATGCAGGAATTCACCCAAGAGCCAGACCATTGCTCGGCACAACTATAACGCTTCTGGGGTGCCCAAACTGAGCCCAGATGTGCTGTGAAAGCTAGTTCATCCTGTGTCACGATACGGAAAAAACCCTCCAAGATGAAATCCTGCAGCAGGTCATCAAGCAACCTGTTATTAAGGAGTTCCTCCTCAACCTCACCAACAGTGGGTTTGTGACCTCAAACACAGATTTTATGAGCTTCTCAGCTGTTTTTTTTTTCCCCTCTAATAGACACTCTCCTTAACCATCCTGAATCCAAGAACTTACTATGATTTAGCGGTATCTTGTGTGATTTAGTGGTATCTTGTGTCAGTGACAGAGACCAGTTAGCTCAGTACAGACAAAGTATTTCCACGAGGCATTTTCAGGTGTCTCATTAAATGCCCAAATGCTCCTTTTCCTGTTTCTACTTTGCTCACAACTTTGAAAGGCTGCAGGTTAGGAAAGTTCCCACAACCATAGAACCATTCAGGTTGGAAAAGACCTCTGAGATCATGGAGCCCACACATCAACCCCACTCTACCCAGAACACCCCTAAACCCCATCTCCAAGCACCACATCTAAACAACCTTCACACACACTAAGGGACGGCGACTCAACCCCCTCCCTGGCAGCCTGTTCCGATGCCTGACAGCCCTTTCAGGGAAAAAATTCTTCCTAATGTCCAGCCTGAACCCATCCTGGTGCAGCTCGAGGCCGTTCCCTCTTGTTCTGTCATGGATTACCCGTGAGAAGACACCAGCACCCACCTCTCTACAACCTCCTCTAAGGCAGCTGTAGAGAGCACCCTCAGCCTCCTTTGCTTAAGGCTAAACAGCCCCAGCTCCCTCAGC